GGAAGCTCCTGCTCTCTCAGATCATTCACCCCAGGTCCTGCCTGTTCCCCTTTGGTGCAGGTCCCACACTGCTCCTCAGGGAGAGATGTTCACCAGCCACCACAAAAACCCTAAAACTCTCAACAAGAGACTCTTCCACTGACCAAAGCTTTTCTCCAATTTAAAGACCACTTTGCTGGAGAAGTCAAGAGCAGCTGGAAGGTCTCCCACAACAGAGCCAGAAGAAGGAATGTCCAACCAGGGCAAAGCAGCTGAGGGACAGCTGGGATGTGCTTTGTGCTGGCATCCCTGGTTGGAGCTGAGCTCCAGGCACAGGGGAAGTGCACTGAGCTGCCTTCATTGAGAGGAGGAGGCAGTGACCAGGAATTCATTCATCTTTAACAGCAATGCAGCATCAATCATCCCCACATCTCAAAACTCACCACAAATGCAGAAAAACGTATCCCCTGCATGCAGGTACCACTGAGCATTTCCAGCTCCATTCATTGCAGGAGGTGCCTTTGGGGGTGGCCTTGGTCCTCCAGGTCGGGAGTGCCTGATCCTGGCTGCTGGCACCAGGCTAACAGCCTGGCCAAAACTGTTCTGCTCCACTAGCACAAACTCTCCAGGTCATGTGAAGAGAAAATCCTCCTAGAGAGCATCCATGCACAGCACCCAGGACACACCAGGGAAAGAGGCAGGGGAGCACAAAGGGCTTTTCCCTTCCATTTTTTGGTGTAAGCAAAGCAGCAGCCAAGGAAAGCCCGAGAAAAACAACTGGTGAAGTGAGGAAAGGAAATGCCATTTCAGAACTAGAAACTTCATCTTGTTGGTGCCTCTTTGGCCCGAGCCCAGCCCGAGAGGAGGCTGTGCTCCATGGAGCTGCTCAGAGGTGAGGGATGCTCCCTCCTCCTGCCTTCCTCCAGGGACTGCTCACCACCAGCAGGACGGACAGACAGACAGACAGTGCATGCACTGGGGCAGGGCAGGACAGAGTGGGGAGAAATCCTAACAACCAGCCTAAAATTGATTGACTTCTGCTCAATCTGATTTCTCCTAACTGGATCCACATGTCCTGGCCATGGCACATTAACTTCAATTACAGCTTATTAATGTCTCTGTGATGGAGCGTGCCCTGCTGAGCACGGCAGTGACTGACGTTGTGAGGGGGAAGAAATTACTCCAGAGAGACCCAGTGTGGAATGGAAGCAGAACCAGTGGCTCTCACCACAGCCCTGGCAGCCAGGGAAAGCTCATTCACCCGTGCCCGGGCTCACTGCTGCACTGAGGAGAAAATTAAGCAGTGAATACAGAGATCTGTGGGGAAAAAATCCTTCCACTTCCCTTCCCCACCCTGCCTGGCACACACACAACACTCAGGCCAAGGGCTTGCTTGTGTCTATTCCTGTCCTGACTCTTCTGCATCTCCAGTTACTCTGCAGATCAATAGGGACAGGATGGAAGAAGAAGGGGTGGGGAAAAAAAGAAGAAAAGAAAAAGATACCAAGAAGAAAGAGAGTAAAAATAAATTGTCAGGCATGAACGGAGAATGGCTGTGGGAGGAGGAGATGCAGAGGAGACCCTGAGGGACAAGTCCACTGTACCAACACCCAGGAATGAGGCAGTGACCCCCAGGATTCACCAGATCCTCTGGCCTATAGGGCAAGAGAAGACAGAAAACTCTTTCCCCATATCCTTTGTTCTGTCTCTCTGCTTTTCCCAAAAGCTCTGGGGGGTTGTGGTGAGGGGTTTTCCTTCTGAAGCTGAGGGGTGAAGGATGGGGTGTGCTTGGGTGGGGCCAGGAGTTCCTGGCCTGAGGGGATCACAGAAAGTTCTCTGAACCCTCCAGATAAGGCTGCAGCACAAGAAACCCCCTGGGCTCATGGGCTGCTCTGAGGGAAAAGCGTTTTGCTCTTCTCTTGACTGTGAAAGTCAACTGGAAATGAGCTGCCAAGTGCCTCATCACAGCCAAAAATGGTGTGGCACAGGGACACAGGCAATGGCACACTCTGAGGGCACACACTGAGGGCACACACTGCTCCTGCACTGCCACACACTGTGGCCAGGCACAGCTCCTCCAGCCTCTCGGGGCTGCTCCCTCTGCTCTCCAGGTGGAGTTTTCTCTCACCCTGCTCTCCATGTGGAATTTTCTCTCACCCTGCTCTCCAGGTGGAATTTTCTCTCACCCTGCTCTCCAGGTGGAATTTTCTGGCTGTGTTTTGCCCTTGACCCCTCATTTCTTCACAATAATAATTTCTTCCCTCTTGTTTCCATGCCCCCTGGAGTGGACCCCTAACACCACCCCACTTTTATCTGTCTCTCCAATGTGTCCTGGAAGAGGTAGTGTGTGTCCATGCCCATCCCTGCCCACCCTCCCTCCCCCTTCCCTGCACAGTGCTCCTGTCAGGCTCACATTGATTTCTCCTCTCTTCCTCTCAATAACCCATCCCTTGTTGAGCCATACACGAGATTTAATTTGGTTTTAGTCCCTGCACTGTAACTGGCTTTGCTTACAGCTGGAATTAGATTGCTCTTCAGTGCAAAAACCTGCTTGCTGGGACTGGAATAATCACAGAAGCAGAGTTAATTCACAGGGAGCTTCTCCATCTTATCCACCACTTATCCACAGCTCCTGAGCTGCTCACCTTCCCTGCCCTGTGCCCATGGGGGCTGGAAGAGTCAGCACAGGACAGGCACTGACCTCTTCTCTGCCCAGGATGAGTGTCCCTCTCTCCTGGGAACCAGCCCAGCAAGCTGGAGCTCTGCAAATCTACATCTCACTGTAGCTCAGAAGTTGGAGTTTGGGCTGATAAAAGCAGATTTCAGAGTTTCCCCTGCTCCCAGCTGAGAGGAATGAAGGATTTGTCTTTACAAACAAGCTGTGGGTCTGCTGGTGGATAAAACCAGCACTGAGAGACAGAAGAAACAATGGGAAGGATTCCACTGATTGATGAATGGAAAAAAAGATATTTGCCTTTACAAACAAACTGTAGGGTTTGCTGATAAATGAAACTGGATATTGAAAGATGAAAGAAACAATGAGGAAAAAAACATAAATTCCATAAGAATTAAAATTAAAAGGGAAGGTTGTGCATTAGAAGGGAATCTTAGGTATCAGGTGTTCTGGTAAGTCTGTACCTCTCAAGTACTTCAGCCAGTGGGAAAAGAGAGGGAAATGTGGCAGGGAAATTAGGATAAAAAGGAGGCTGAGTTCTCCAAAACCTTGAGAGATTCCCGGGGGAATGCCCCATGACCTCTCCCTTTATTCGAATAAAGCAAAAGGAGTCCTCTGTCTCCTTTTCGGACACAAACCTCTGGTGTTTGTGGCTTAATTTTCCTGACACAGCCAAGGAAAAGCCCTTTCAGCCCTGGAGGGGGAGGTGGGGCAGGTTTTGGGAAGGAGCTGGAGCTGCTGCAGGACAGGGACCAGCCAGGGATCACAACAAACCCCGACCTGTCTGTGTTGGCCCTGGCTAAAAAGCAGCATTGCAGCTTCCACAGGGCATCCATCCCACCTCCAGCTGCCCTCGGGGTGGCTCTGGGATTTTGGATGTCTCGTAGAGGTTGAGACTCCTCCAGCCCTGGGTGTGTTTGAAGGGTTTTTCCTGCTCTTCCCTGGCTGCCTCTTTTCACAGAATTTTTAGGGATTTTCTGTCTTGAACCAATCTCTGCTACTATTAAATGGGATTAAATTTGGCCAATGAATTCTGAAGTTGATGGGGTGTGGGGAGGGGGGAGGAGGACAACTGAGAGCAAGATGTTGGGGTTTGGGGAGAATCTCACCAGCATGGCCTGAAGTCCTAAATACTGAAGCAACAAATCCTGCCCAAGGCAGGCAGGAAAGGTAAACGGCTCAGAGGAGGAGGTTCACGGGACACCAACTTTTATTTTAAGTCTTTGTAGCATCAAGTATCCCCAGGCTGCTGCAGGAGCAGTGGCGAGTCCTTGGTTACCTGTGCTGATCTCCACACTTGGAAGCCAAAGCTCATTGCACAAACACATCAAACATTTAGTCCTAATTTACCAGACACATGTGGAGGTGCTTTCCTGCTCCTCTGCCCACATTCCTGAGCCCCCCGGGGCTCCTCCCTGAGCAATCCCCACGGTGGGGAACCCCAAAATGCCCCCAACCCAGCTGAGAGCCACAGTGACAAAGACCCTCACTGCTGCCTCCTGCCCGCCCTGGAGGGTGGAAAGGGCTCTCCATCCCTCCCTGCAGCTTCCTTCCCCTTGGAGCCTGTTCAAAGCCAGCCTCGGTGGCACCTGCAAACATTTCTACTTGCAAGTCTCAGAAGCAAACAGTTTGGAACCGATACAAACGGCTCCTCTGTCGCTGTGGTGATGCTCGTTAGCACGGGGTGGGTGATGGGGAGATTTTTCCCCTCTCGCCTCTAAGTCTCGCACAAGCTGGATGGGAAATCAGCCATCTCGGCACTTTTCCACCTTACTTTGCTTTTTCGGTTGATGTCATAATGTAACATATGGCATCGTACAGAGAAATGAAAACCAAAACCCAGGAGAAACAAACCCCCTCCTGCTTCCTCTGCCCCAGATCTGTCGGGGGGTTTACCCTCACCCCAAACTTCGTCTGCCAGGGCTGGGGCTGCTCAGGGTGCGCAGGAGTGACTGGGGATGACCAACCCTGCTTCTACCGGCAGTGAGCTGGAGTTTAGTGGGGTGAGCCTCATTCCACACCAGTGTTCCACCCCCGAGACATCTGGGCAAAGGCTGGCTGTGTTTGCACAGCTGGGACAGGGCACTGCAGGGAGCTCAGACCCTGAGTGTCCATCCAAGCCACGTCCCAGCTCCGCCAGCACCAGCTGCAGGAGGACACAGCCTTGGAGGTGCCCCAGCCGTTCCCTGCAAGGACACATCTGCTGCCCTGCCTGGGGAGAAGGGGTGCTAGAGGGAGAAATGGTTCTCTCTCGGTCGGCAGAAACGCTGATGGCTCAGTTTTCTAGCAAGAACCCTCCTCTCATCCCTGCGAGGAGAGACGCCCAAAGAAAGGCAGCAGCCGTTACCTGCCGGTGACCTCGATGTTGGAGACGGCGTAGAAATACTTGTACAAGTTCTCCCTCTGCACGTAGGTGCCGCCCAGGGCGGGTCTCAGCAGCCTCATGCGCAGGTCGGTGACGGTGAAGAAGTCCTTGAGCCCTTTGGCGCTCTCCAGCCGGGTGTACAAGTTGTCCATGTTCTTGAGGTCGGGGCCGGCGAAGATGGCAAAGCGGTCCCGCACCTCAAACCGCACGGTCTTCTCTTTTTTGGAGCCCGCCCAGCGGGAATACTCCTCTGTGCAGAGGACCCTGTTGGCACTGGTGGTGGAGAGGTCCCGGACCCTCCGTGCTGGCATGCTGAAGGCCTCCATGCAGTCATCTGCATAGTACTGGTACGGGTGCCAAGTCCTCCCGTTGTCCAGCGACTTCTCCAGCATCATGATGGTGGGGCGCCCGTACTCGAAGGTGATCACGATGTCGTCGGTCAGCTCGATGCTCTTGTTCCAGGACAGGGTGATGTTGGCCAGCAGCGGCTCCGGGTACCGGCGCCACGTCACGCTCTGCCAGTACGTGGCCAGCCCCTCGTCCTCGCTGTCGAACATCAGCTTGGGCGGGTGGGCCAGGTCGGGGTTGGAGGCGTCGCACTCGTCGCTGCACAGGTACGGGTTCTCCTGGAACAACAACAACGGTCACCTGAGAGCAGAGCAAACCTGGGCAAGGTGTGGGCAGTGCGGGCACACACAGCCCCTGGGCTGGCTCTGCAGGATGCTGTTTCTGAGAACGACTTTAAGGCAGAAAGATGCAGCTTTGCCTCAGCTGTAAGAACGGCTGAGCTGCTTCCTTTGAAAGGCCCTTTGGGAAAGGGCTTTGCAATTTGGCACGGGGGCAATTTTCATAGAAAGCTCCTTCCCTGAGATGGTCTCTGAGAAACTTGGGTTAAGCTTGGCTGATTTACAAGCCTACAGAAAGCTGTGCTCATCCCTGCTGCCTTGGAGGAACTGAATGGCTAAAATCCCCCAAGCACACCCCTGCCTCCCACGGCTCCTGATGCTGAAAAGGCTTTGGACACTCCATCCCCCCAGTGCCTCTGAGCACAGCTAGAGGAGGGAAACCAAATTTCTCCAGCTCCAAGCTGGGACAGAACTGAGCAGTAGCAGAGAGAGCAGAGATTTATGCTTCTGGTGCCTTGGTCCTCAGCTACCCACAGGGAACAGGGTGGGAAGGATGGCTCATCCCATCCAGGTGACAATGTCCACTGCTCCAGGCCTGAGCAGTAGGGGAGAACCTCCAGCCATCCCATTTTGCCCACAAATACCAGTGCACAGCCAGGCTGGTGTGTTTTGCAGGGACACACCTCCACACGTGCTGAGCTGCACTGGGACACGGTGCCAAGGTCACACACCACATGTTGAATTTTCAGGGGTGGCCAGCTGTGCCAATGCATTTATTGCTCACCCATATGTTTGTTAAAGCCCAGCATCTCTGCCCTGCATTCTCTGCCTCCAGGAGAGAGCATGTGGGTCACACCTGCCTCGGGGATTGTGTGGGGCTGTGTTCTAGTGGGTGCAGACCACAAAAAACTCTGCAACACGCTGCAAATTTTTTTTTTTTTTTTTTTTTGCATATGAAGCATCTCTTTGCTGTCACTGTGCCTTCCTCTCAGAATCGAAATCCAAAGGACTGGGGAGGGAGAGGGATTGGTATGACAGAGGGCTCTGCTGCTGTGGGACCCTTCCCAGGAAGGCAGAAGCACCTGGCAGAGGAGGAGGTGATAAATCAGCTGGAGCTGCTCAGAGCTGCTGGCTGGAGGTGAGGAGCCTGCTGGGGTGTGAGGTCTGGCTCTCCTGAGCACAGCAGCTTTCCAGGTAAGACCAAGCTGGGTGTTGTGCTTTGCTTTGTGGGTGCTGTGTGTGGGGATCAGCGTGGTCCTGCCTGGCCCTGGGGACTTCCTGCAGCACCAGACTGTGGGGAGCTGATACTGGTACCTGGAGGCTCCAAAAAGTGAGGTGCAGGGTGGATGTGAGCAGGTTGGTTGTGTCTCTGGCTGCTGCAGGTGTGGGAAGGGGCTGCTCCTGTGTCCATGGCTTGCTTTGACCTGAGGAGCTGTTGGAGTCTGAGTGCCTGTGAGCTGCTTTTGGGCTGCCCTGTGCATACCCAGGCACAGCAGAGGGGAGGATCTGCCTTGTACAAGTGGATGCTCTCGGGTGCAAAGCGGGGCTGTGCTCTGAACGTGGAAACCTCTGAGTAACACAACGTGCTTTGGAAAATGTGGGCTTTGCCACCTCCAGCCAGGCCACCAAAAGTCTTGGGAGCTACTTAGAGCTTCCCCACTCCACGTCTGTAAAACGGGCTCAGAGATGTGCACTGAAGGCAAGCAACTGTTTGCAAAGTCAGTGGAGGACACAGCACCCAGGAGCCCTGAAAAACTCCTGAGGACACAAAGAATTGTGTGTCTGGAGCAGCATGTGAGCAGCACAGTGTAAATAAGGCAGGAGGCTGCTCTGTCAGCACGGGGGAAAACAAACCAGGGAGTGGCTGATGTGAACATGAGAACCAGGCTCCTGTGCAGGGCAGGCAGCCTTGGGGACACGAGGGGACTCCTGTAAGCACAGCAAACCTGGTGTTTGTGTTCGTGTGCACGAGGCTGCCAGGGAAAGCAGCACATGATAAAACAGGTCAGAACTCAAACTGTTTCCAACCCAGTCTTGCTCTGGCACACCCCAGCCTGGCAGTGAAGCTGCAAATCCGTGCTGGGGTTTGTTCCTCCTGTCACAGCCTCGGCTTGGGCTGTGTGTGGCTTTTGTCACCTCTGTGTGTGCTGGGAGGAAGGGCTGGGACTGGAGATGCTGAGTTCTGGGGTGGTGCCCACCCTGCAGCAGGGAGGTTACTCACAAATGGGTGCTTGGGTTGATGTTTTAAATCAAATAGCTGGATTATTTATTTATGTATTTATTTAGTTTGTTTGCAGCTGTGATAACGGAGCAAGGGAAATCAGTGGAGTGCTCAGGCTTGCTTGGACGGGTGAGGGCACCCCACAACCCCCTCAAAGAGGGGGAGATGCCCAGCTGGGCTGTGGTGGGGCTCTGAGCCATGCTGGGGGGTCCTCTCCTGCCACAACAAGCTGTTCTGGAGTAGGGATTAAAAAACCCTGAGATATTGACATATTTAATATGCTCTCCTGACTCGTCACGTTCAGAGGAATTGTTTACCTCTGCTAATGAGACACAGCTTCCTGCTGGGGGATGGAGCTGCCTCTCAGCACAGCTTTTCAGTGATGGCTGAGGGAAAAGGCAGAAAAATCCCCCTCAGCTGAAGTGCTGGGGGCTCTGAGTGTGTTTCCTGTGCTGAGGCAACATATTGTGCTGCAGTATGGTCCTCCTGTCAATGTGGCCATACAGATGGCTTAATAGGACAGTCCTGAAAAGACCATCCCCGAGGTCCATTTTTCCCACTTGTCTGAAGGAGGGAGCAGCAGGTGGAGAATTGGCTTGGGATGGCAGCAGAAAAGTCCCTGACAAACCTGCCTTGGTGGCTCTGTGTGAGCAGAGTCTGTGTCTCAGAGCTGTCCTGCCATGAGCCTTCCTTTCCTTGAGCTGGTGTGAGATGAATCTCACCAAGTGTTTGCCACTTGAGCTGCCCCCAGCGTGGCCACAGTGGCCACCTCCAGGGCTGTGGGTGATGCTCCTATCACTGCTTTCTTTGGAGTGGCCAAATTAAACAAACTAAGGACTCTGTGATGAAACCAGGATAAGGAAACGTTACCCTGGCCAGGATGGGAGGTGGGACAGATTTCCCTGGAGCAGTGAGGGGAGCAGCTGAGTCTGATCAAGCATGATCCCCCTCAGCATGTCCAGTCTGGAGGAGCAGGGCTGGCCAGGCACGTCCCTGGCAGGGTCAGGAGCAGGGAGAAGCAGAGAGCAAACCCTGCCCGTGTGCCATATGCTCATCCCAGGGAATGGAAGTGCACAGCCCCTGCTGTTCCCCAAGCTGGGAGCGTGCTCAGCTCAGCAGGAAGCACCCCCAAAAATCTCTTTAACCACCCTGGGGAGGTAAATGGCTCAAGAGGTGCATGGTTGTAACAGGGCAAACTCAAAAATAACCCCCAAGTGGCAGCAAGGTGGGGGAGAGCCTCAAAAGCCTCAAGAGTGTCACATCACTACAGCTTCCTCTGCTAAAATGAACTGTTCCTTTTTGGGGTTAGCTTTATTGAATTGTCCTTCCTCTGTGGGATGCTCGATGCCTTTTGTGCTGGGGGGGTGGTTTGGAGTCAGCCAGGAGGGCAGGGGGGAGCGGAAACAGATGGCCACATTTTGGCTGCTCCCTTGGTCCTGGTAAGATCAGATATAGCACTATTGAAACAAGTCCAGGTATTATTTTTGAATCTGGTTTCCTCCTCCCAAGCCGTGTGTCCTCCAAAGAATCTGTCCAAAGTCTTGAGATATTTAAGTCTTCAATCTAAAAGTCAGGATGCATTAGCCAGGCAAACTTGGTCTCAGTGAGCTTAAAATAAACCAGTTCACTTTGAGTCTCACGCTATTAAATCAGTCGTGAGTGTCCTCACAGCAACTAAACATTGCAGATTTCAAGCGCTCCAGCTCCTCTGGTTGTGCACTTTTTGGGGTTGTACCAAAGAGTGTTGCAGCCCTGCTTAGCCCCAGCTCAGCCCAAAAGGGCAAATCTCCAGGGGACAAACTGTGAGAGCCTCGCTGAGGACACGGTGTCCTAAAAAAATGGCATCATGGTGAGGTTGTGCCTCTGTGAGCCAAACCATAGAATGGGATGGGTTGGAAGGGACCTTTAAAGGTCACCTAGTCCAACCCCCCTGCCATGGGCAAGGGCATCTTCAGCTGGGTCAGGCTGCTCAAAGCCCCATCCATGAATGTTTCCATGGATAAGGCACCCATCACCTTTGAGGTTTTACCATGCCAGTATTTTATCACACTCATTAAAATAAGTTTTCTTCCCTACAACTAATCTGAATCTGCTCTCTTTTAGTTTAAAACCATTATCCCTTGTCCTAACACTACAATTCATAATAAAGAGCTCTCCCCGTCCATCCTGTAGACCCTGGGACTCTGAATCCTCCTTGGTAGGGCTGCTCTCCATCCTTCATCCCCAGCCTGGAGTGATCCTGGGGGTTGTCCTGCTCCAGGTGTACCCAGGAGGTTCCCATGGACCCAGTCCTTGAGCTGGAAATGTGTCCCAGCCCTGGTGACTGCTGACCCAGCCCTTGGAGTCAGTTCTGGGCAGAAATGCTGCAAAAGGAACTTTCTGAAGGTGACAGCAAAGATTTGCTCCTTGGGAAGGAGGATTTCTTAAGAAACAAGATATTGGTCTGACAAAGCAAGATGACAGGAATTCAGGATGCTGCAGGGAAGCTGCTCCCCACCTTGCTGGGAAGGGGGGGAATGGGGGAAACCAGCCACAACAAAAGGCCTCAGTTTTACAAAGCCCAGATGGTTTTTAGGGCTCTTAATGAGCGCCAAAGTTGCTTTTTTTTCTTTTTTTTTCTTAGCAGATAATACCATTCTTAAGCCTCATAGCTTAAAATTATATATTTTTGTAGGTGCAGTTGCTTGATTAATCATTAGGCTGTTGAATATTTTAAACAAACTAGACATCTGTTGTGAATGGTGAAAGCTGCACAGAAATAAGACTGCAGCTTTTAGAT